ATTATATTAAAAATATATATAAAATTTAGAAAAAATTTCCGCAGCGTAGCGCAGATAAATACCTAGTAACTAACAATATGTCTTGTATAAACAAATAAGGTGATTAGTAGAAAATTATGTAGTGATGAAATATTGAAATTGAAAAAATAAAAATAAAAAGGTTTAGAAGATTAGAGAGGAGCCAAAGGACTGTCGGAAGATACAGGAAGGACCGAAGGAGGTTGGACCGTTCGTGTCGGCTACTAACGGTTGGGCCACGTCATCAACGTGTAACAGCTTTGTGGGTCCCAATTTTATTGACCGACTGACAGTTGACCGTTCTATCTTACGGGACTGGGGCCACTTTGGCTAATTCCTTGCCGACAACTACCCTTTATTTCTCATTTTATTTCCTTTTTTCAGTTTAATTATTACTATTATTGATTTTAAAAATTTCCCGTTTAAATAATAAAATCGCTGTTAAAACACATATTTTATTGCCGACAAAAAAAAAACACATATTTTATTAAATGATATACAATGAATATTGAATTCAATATTGTCATATGACAACACGTATACAAAACAGACTACTTTCATAGCCCTAGTTTACTAGACTAAAATTTTACAAAGCTAATTAGTTACACCTAAGCAGTGTGGTTATATATTTATTAAATTAGTATCATAATGCAAAATTTCTAAATTAAAAGCAACTAATCTACATAACAATTTAACAAAAATAAGATATCATCTTTAACGTATTACGAGATATATATATATATTTAATTTAAGTTTATAAATAACATACGAAATCCATGTTCCATAATGTTTCACATATTAGCTATTAGATTTTTATGTGAAAAAATCTTAATAATATCAAGCTTTTCTTCATGTACAACTTACAACACATGCACAATTATCGGATTTGAGTATAAATTATGACATAATAATATATAATGCATGCAAAAGTTCAACAACAAAAAATACTAGTGCAAATCATTATTAGGCTACAGGTTCGGCAAAAAAAATATTCTATATATATATTAGTCGTGCAAGTTCGTTTGTATACTAATTATTCGTTTTTGTCTGATAACATTTACATACATTTATTGAAAAGAAAACAGTTATATACTGGTCGCTGTTCTCAAATTAATTAGATTTGAAGTGCATGGTTTATAAGAAAACCAAGCCGTGTAAATTTCGCGTTGATGAGTCAATGCTGCGTCACGTGAGATCTTGAAGTCTTAACCACTCACTGCATTACGAGATCTCCGAATCAAACAAAATCTAGTTTAGTTTACGGTGAAAATGAGATAACAGAGGAACCACAAAATCAACAAAATAAGTTTTTACTGTTGAGAAAATATAAATTCCATCTACCAAAGTTCCACATTATTGTTGCTTAGTTAATAAACGTTGCGATTAGGCATAACAAGTGACTGATATGATTGCTGCTTAACAAATTAAAATGTATTTGTCAACAATATCAAATGATAAGTCATACCTTAATTAGGTGGAATCTTTTTTTGTTTTCCTTTGTCTCGATTCTGGTTGATTAGAACTAAGATTATGTGTGAACGTTATTGGTGTCCATTTCAACCTGACGCTGTGATAGTAAATTATGTATTCGACAATGAGACAAAGTTTTGCCAAACACATACATAATTTACTATTAATACGACGGTATGTACCATATTATATATATATATATATATATATATATTCTGACGTCTAATTTAAATAATTATCGTGATATATCACGTAAAATAAGTATGACATTAGTAATTTAACTTATTAATGTGTTTGCCATTCGTCTTTTTTATAAACAAGAAGGTAAAAATTTTGTTACACAATGCATATTCTCGTTATATAATCATATATGTCATTTATATTATACATTCTTTCATGTAATTGTTTTCTTTAAAGAAACATGAGTCATGATTGATGTACATGAGAGAAACTTATATATTCATGTTTGTGTACGACTAATTATCGGGCCGAAAATGAAAGTAAAGAATAAAGACACTGAGAAGTGAGGATCAAAAAGAAGAAGAAGAAGAAGAGAGTTGATGAGTAAGAACAGAGAGCAGAGCATCCCGTGATGGGCAAACTAGAAATTCGGTGATTTCTCCGACATATAATGAGACAAAACTACAAGTTTGAAATTAAAGATAGCCCATGTGACCACTCGAATCACTTTCATTATAGACGAATATGAATTTATCTGTTTCTCACATTTAGCACATGTGTGACGTATGATTTTACTAGGTATCAGTATGTGCTGCATTTTGTAACATTATTCTTAAACACAGAATCATATTTCAGACAAAATAGTTACTAGTATTGTTTATTATTCGTCTAGAATTACGCAACTACACTCACATTTGCTGTCAAAGTTCTCGTTTTGTTTCCATAATTATATTATTCCAAAAGGATAAAATAATGTTTTTATTCCGTCAATTTAGTTCTGCTAAAGTTATTTTTAATACTAAAAGATCTTTAATTATCAATTGAAGGAAGCATCTCTTAATTAAATGGCTGTGTCTTTGATAAAAAAAAATGACTGTGCCGCGATTTTGTTTTTATACCGGTGAGTTTCTTTGATGAGAAATTAAACTAGCGCCTGTGAAAAAAGGAAAAAATACGTAAACTAGCCACAAAAATTTACAAATGACTACAAAGCAATGAAAAATTTGTAGTCAGTAAGTGCCCGTAATCAATTAAAATTAACTTGTAAGTTTAGATTACATCCACTAGACTTTACTGTCGAACAAGAATCTTCCACTAATACTATACATACATGATACAAGTAACTTGGATATATAAAATATATACGTATATAGTGTTAGTCGATTCAGTGACGTTTGAAGAAAAAAAATGATGGGCCTTCGTAATTGTACGTACTCGACAACATGCGTGGCAATGACTCACCTTATCCATATTGGAGTATTACTTTTTATAACACTTTCTCGTATACTGATACTCGTCTTTTTGTATACTTGAGAAGGTAATATTTATATAACAGTTTCATGTATTATAACCATAAACAAATCTAATAAGTCCACATTTAGCTTCTTTTTACTAAATTTACTAAAATTTTCATACATATACATATATATATATATATCTCTCTTGATTATAATTAAAAATTTATATATATAATCTCATAGTTAGTAATTTTACCTGGTTTTATGTAAGTATTTTTTTTGAAAATTATTTAAATACAAAGGAGTACAATTAATCAAATATTTTCATTGCAATTTTAATTGGTCATTCTCTTCCTTGCTTATAACAAAAACCAATCTAGTAGTTTTTTTATTTGGTGAAACAAAAACCCAACCCAATACTTAACGACTTTACACGTACGTATATATATAACTGTTTTACTTTATAGATTTTCTAAAATCATGCTTGGTCTAATAGATTAGTGTTCAAGGGCGAAGATACGCCCTAGCAGATCCTCTTTCGTCAAGACCATGTCACGACCGAACTTACAAACGTTACTCATTTTGCTGTATATATATATATACCTTTTCGCATATATATTATTTTTTAGAGTACATATATCTTAATTTTATGTCGATGTTTTCAACAATTTTTTTTAATGTCGATGCAGTAGGGCCTTAGGTGAAGTGTACGTATAGATACGTGAGGTATTTTTGCTTTTGAGGCTCCTTCATCTCTCACATCCGCCGGGCCACGATCAAGCTCAATAGACATTTTAAAGTCAAAATGAAATAACTTATTTTTTAAAATAGAAATGTATAGTTTCAGAAAGATAACTTAGCTTTGTATAAAGAATGACTCTCTTTACTAGTATTTAGAAAATAACTCAAAACTAAACTAAATATAAAGCTCTCTTAACTCTCTTAATGATTCACCACATCTCGGTAATCATATTTATAGGTATAGAACTTCTTATCCAACCTATTTCCTATTCATAATAGGATTTCTACCAGCTTGTCTTATTTAACCCTACTTGGTTAAGGATATCTTAAGCTATAAGCTTTGAAGCTTATCCAACAAAATGTAGCTTTCATATCAAACCTAAAAAAACTATTTGTCGTCAAAAAATAAGCTTTAAATTAATATTCTAAAAGCATAAGAGCATTTAAAAAACTATAAATAGTTCGTTTAAATTACATTTATAGACTACTTGAAGCGATCTTTAATATCAAATTAGTAGTACAAAAAAACAGTACTTCGTTCACATGCATATGTTATTTGTCTCTTTCCATGAAAATATAAACTAATTTTGAAGTTACAGAAAATTATCGAACTAAGGGACATTTTTTTGTCGTTGTAATTTGAAAAAGTAGCTTATCCAAGTACAGTTTCTTAGTTTTATAAGCATACATTATGCGGTCAATTCCAAGTTATTATTAAATTAATATATAATGCAGACGTCAGATAATACAAAACATTGCTCCAAATTTTGTCGTTAATATCAAGTTAAAATAGTCACATACATAGCTTGGAATCTAAAATTATAATTTAAAGCATATTCTAAAAAGTAGCAGCATTAAAGGATATTGTTATGTGCTTAATAGAAGAAAAATATCCGTCACATTATAATCAACATAACCATGTATAATATCCAAAGCAGAGAAATCAAACAAAAGTTCGAAAATGATCTAAAAAATCCCATAAACAAAATCCAACAGTTTTAAAAAATGTTAAATCACATCATACATTAATTGGGCCGGGCTTGGCTTATATATCTAATATTCACGTTAATAAGCAGCCCAATTGACTTAGTTGGTCATTCAAATTCATCAAAGAAACAAAATTCACAAAGCAAAAACAGCGTCGTTTCGCATATAACAAGCTGTAGTAATAATTTTCCAAAAAGTTTATCGAAGAAACGTTCAAGTGGCGACAGAGAATCTCGGTCGTCTTTGTTGTCTCCGACGAGGCTCTTCTTCTTCTCCCGATTAGATCCCGCTGGAGAATTCAGAGACTCTAGGGTTTCGCTGGGATTCGATTCTTAAGTGTTTTGGACAGTGAAAAGAAAGTAATCGATGATGTTGCAGTCGCATTCAAGGTTTCTCCTCCAGACGCTGTTGACGCGAGCTCAGAAGTGAGTAATTTCATTCTTTAACCTCATCTTGTAAAATGCTCAGCTCTGGTTTTAGTTTTTGGGTAATCTGAAATTAGAATCCTTTTGGTTATATAATCGTCGGAATCTAGATTGTTGGGTTATCTTATTCTATCAAGAACATTTGTAAAGAACTCGGTTTTGTAGAATGTAAGAAAAGTTTTTGACTTTTTGTGTGTGTAGATATCTTAGCTGTTTGATATGTTTTTTTTGTTTCAGTCTTGATAAAGCAGTGGAGCTAGATTATCAATGGATCGAGTTCGATGATGTTCGTTACCATGTTCAGGTGAGTTTTTTCAACCAGCATTTTCTCTTGAGAGATTCATATGTATCTTGTTCAATCATCTGATGTAGCAAGTGTCAATAGGTGACAATGAAGAATCCAAACATCTTGTTGCTTTCGGTCTCGTTACCAAACCCACCACCAGAAGCAATGTCCTTTGATGGACTTCCTTTAGGAGCTATAGAAGCTATTAAAACCTCTTACGGGACTGGATTTCAAATACTTGATCCTCCTAGAGATGGTTTTAGTCTTACATTGAAGCTCAATTTCTCTAAAGTTCGTCCAGATGAAGGTTCAAAACGAGTCTCTTTTCTCTCCTCTAATGTCAGTTTGATTCTTTGCTTTAACTTGCTTTGTTTTTTTTTATGAGAAGTATCTATGTTTGTTGCAGCGTTCAGGAACTCTTTGTTAACGAAGCTAGCTTCCATTAGAGAAGTAGTTATGGGTGCTCCGTTGAAAATCATACTCAAACATCTAGCTTCGAGGACTGTTGCTCCTGAGCTGGATAGGCTTGTTGCAATCATGCATAGACCCAACGAGACCTTCTTCCTCGTGCCTCAGGTTTATATCTAAACCTATACGACTCTCTCATATGATTTAGTAAGAATGTAGAGTGGATAGAGAACTAAACCGTTGGCTTCACAGGCGGATAAAGTAACCGTGGCTTTCCCTATGAGATTTAAAGACTCTGTTGACACTATTCTAGCAACTTCTTTCCTAAAGGTAAAAACACAAATGGTCATAGTTATAAAAGTCTTGATCTTTGTAGTTACTGAAGAGAATGGATGTTATTAATAATATATAGGAGTTCGTAGAGGCGAGGCGTGCTGCTGCGCTTAGTAGTGCTCCTTCTTGTTCTTGGTCTCCAACGGCACCTCAGGAGTTAGAAGGAGCTCCTAAAGAAACACTATCTGCTAATGCCGGTTTCGTAACTTTTGGTATGATCCCACTTATAAGTTCTCTGTTTCTGTTTGAATTCGCATTCGTTTGTGCCAAAGTTGAAAGAAAACTTACTAACGTTAGATTATCTAATATATGATTAGTCATCTTCCCTCGGCATGTTGAGGGGCAAAAGCTCGATCGTACTGTCTGGAATTTGTCAACCTTTCATGCTTATGTTAGTTACCACGTCAAGGTTAATTTCTCTTTCATGTTCACTTAAATGCTAAAACTTTATCTCTCTCTCTCTCTCCCTGTGAGTATATAAGCTTGTGAAAACCGAGTTTTGTTATATTATATAGTGCACAGAGGGATTTATGCACACCAGGATGCGGCGTCGTGTGGAGTCTATGATTCAGGTATGATACGAAATCCGATTTGTCTTTTTGTCCTTTTTTTTCTTTAACTGCTTGAAGGGTTTCTTCAATACATTCTACATGGAAACCTTGTTGTCTCAGGCTCTGGATCAAGCTAAGCCATTGGAGAAAACAAGATCGATGAACAACAAGTCGTTTAAAAGACTAGTAAGTTGTGATCTAACCTTACCATGAAACCAACAAGACTTAATTTTTTTCTGTTTGTATTGTCGTTAAGATTGACTTTTATTCTTCTTGTTCCTTACAGGGAATCAACGATGTTAATCACACAAATTCGAAGTAGTTTGATCTCTCTCCCGAAGCAATTTTGTAAAATCATGTGAGTAGCTGAGACAATGTTTTTGATTGAATTTAGTCTCTGATATTTCTTTTTTTATTGAATTCTTTTGACCAAATGTATAATGTTAAAGACTGTAAGAAATTCATTTTATAGAGGATCTTCAGGTTGAAGCTTTATCTGAAAATGTTGTTTCCATCTACAAAAAGAAAATGAAGATCTTTCTTTGTGTTCTTTTTGCAAGACAAGGATATAAAGAAGGTGCAGAGAAAAGAATAAAGGGATTCAATGATTCTTAGCTCTTTTGATCGAATCTCTATTGTTCTCAAAGTTCTCTGAAAATCATATACTGTAGCCGTTGGTTATACTCATACCTCAACATATCATCAAAAATTCAGAAAAAAGCAAATGATTTATCTACGTACATTGTTATATATCAAACACTGATGAATCAGAAGAGAAATAGTCACATCCTTGTCTTTTTTTTTTTTTTTTTTTTATCTTTTGGGGCTTGTTTTTTTATGTCAAAAATAAGAACTGATTTTAGTTTTATAAAACAGAAAAGTGAACTTAAGAAAATGAAAAGTTATGTATAATACATAGTGGCTTCGTCCAGGTTCGAACTGGAGACCTTCAGTGTGTTAGACTGTCGTGATAACCAACTACACCATGAAAAGTAGTACTATTCATTCATTATAAACCAAGAATCTGAATAGTAAATAAATTATTGTTTTATGAATAATACTATAGAACGAAGTAAACATTTATTATCTCTAGAAATTGTATTAAAGCCCATAGCTTAGTTCTATATACGGCCCATGAAAAAAGCCCTGGTGGCTACGTTTTCATCCCACCAAATTTTATAAAACACACAAAACACAAAATTAATGGCTTCGCCCGGGTTCGAACCGGAGACCTTCAGTGTGTTAGACTGACGTGATAACCAACTACACCACGAAACCATTTTGTCTTATTAGTGTTATTCCTTTTTGATATACTCCGTTGTTTTTACTGTTTCACGTAGGGGTGGGCACAAAAACCATAACCGAAAAAACCAAACCATACCGAACCGAAAAAGTGATATGATTTGGTTATGGTTAAACCTAAAAATCCATTTGGTCATCATTTTTTTATAGCTTTGGTTTAAGTTTGGTTTGGTTAAAAACCGTCAAACCAAAAGGTTTTTTCGGTTTTTAAAATATAATATTTATAAAAGAATTCTACATAAAAATAATAAAGTAAACCTTAATTTTTCAATGAAAAATAACGTAATTAACTATTCTAGTTTTAAGGTTATAGCCTTATAGATATTAAATTTTAATATAGATTTGTTTATTGTTTTATAATTATTGATTATGAAAAATTTAATAATTTATTTATTTTTCTGTTTTGAAATTTGTCGTTATTGATGATTTTTTTATGATTTAGATTCTATTTTTTGAATTTATTATTTTATTTCATTCATATTTATTATTATTATTTCTATTAGTTTGAATCAAAAAATTTCGTAAAAATATAAATCTAAAAAACCGAAACCAAACCATAATAAATCGAACCGTAAAAAACCAAATCATACAGAACCGAAATATATATGACTTTTATATAGTTTGAATTTTCATAAAACCGATAAACCGTAAAACCGAAGAAATCGAACCGAAACCAAACCAAAAACCGAAATGCCCACTCCTAGTTTCACGTGCCCCTTGTCCTTACTTTCTCTAACGTATTTACTCCACGTGAAGAACGAGTAGCAATAGTAAGCTTGAGACGACTTCCAAAAATATCTCTGCAATTTTTAATTTCTTTTTATTTAATGAAACCTTAGCCGCAATACCAAGTTGAGCTAAAGATCATGCAGACGAATTGTCGGAAGAACTAGTAATGTCAAATGTGCATCGGGTTCTATTGTCGTTTCATATGAAACCCTTTTTTGTTTACATGTAAGGGAGCTCATATTTGAAAACTATTAGACCATAGGTTTGAACTTGTATATTTTCCACAAAATCACCTTAGTTCACAGGCTACCATAGTACCATTTATTCTTTTCAATAGCTTATAATGCAACTATACCAAGCATTTTTTTTTTAATTGTTATTGTTTATATGATTGGGAGCTGATTTGGTTTATTCATAATTTGAAGTTAAGAAGGAAAAAATGTTTTAAAAATCTGGTTAACTAAAAATTATCGAAAAGATAGTAATTCTGTTGTTAGTATGTATGTGCACATATTTATGTGTCTAAAATCTCGTGAGTGTTGTTGTCTCGTCTAATTATCTAAAATCTTGAAACTTATGTATACCTATATTACAATATTTATTTAATAATCAAGTTGATAAATCGGAACGTGATGATACTAGCTATTTTTTGAAACATAGTTTTCCAAAAATCTTCATGAAAATCAAGAAACATATATAGATATTGGATTTGAAATTGGAATATTCGAATGATGTATCAAGATTACCAAGATTTTTAGTAAACAATTGTTTGTTGTTATCTTATTTTTATTGGAATTTTACATTATCGTTGTATGTGTATAACAACAAAAAGAATTGTGTTCTCTTATAAAAAAACTAAATAAAAGATTCTCGACGGGATTTGACGAAGGAGTGGTTATGAACCCTGTGTTTGACTTAAGCCAATTGATAGCAGGTCAAAACTTTTCACTAAGCCTGTTCTTGCGTATTGCAAAATATTAATAGGCTCCAAAAAACTGAGGGACAGTGATACTTCTACGGCCACCGTTCTTGAGGTTTTTTTTCCACCATCTTCAGTTGGAGAAGCTGGAGGAGGGAGTAGAGATGGCTATAATTGATTTAGACGCTTTTGTGCGTGGCATTGACTGCTTTTCTCACATGGACGTCGGAGAAGCTGAGTAGGGCTGAGACTGGAGATCCGCCGGAGTATACTTTATTCCGAGGAGGATGGATTTGTACGATCTATCAACTAAGTCATTAACATGAATATGAAGGAGAAGCGGAGGCAACAAGACGAGGGTGACTACGAGTCGGACCGAGGTGTCAGACGACCACGACTACGATCCCAAACGTAGCAAGGAGAAGCTGCATTCAGACGGGTCTGACTCGTAGTCACCCTCGTCTTGCTGCCTCCATTCCTCCTCGATATCCTCCTCGACAAGCGAAAGTATTTCAAAGACGATAATTGGTGACTACGAGTATAGACCCAACCCAACATGAATTGCTTAGGGGGAGATCTATGGCTCAAAAGCGTCCTTTATTCAAAAGAACTAACATGTTCTTTCTGTTGCTAAATTACTTACAACTATCAAGGAATCAATCATCTTTACTGATGAATACTGTGTTCTACAAGACCATATTTCAAAGATGATAATTGGTTACTTATAGGAATCGACAATGATAAGCTTCGATGGTGATCAAAGCTTAAAAGTAAGAACAATATCTATAAGACTTTTTGTTGGCAATTCAGATTGCCTATTTTTGGCTTTTTCATTGATTTAAATAGGAAATACAGAAACAACGGTTGGAGTATCAACTCCTACATACAAGAAAATGGGAAAAGTGGAAGAGAGGTTTCCTAAATAATAGGAAGACTCATTCTTCGCTTATCAACAACTGAAGCAAATTGACTGAATCAAAGGATAAAAGAACGTAAAAGAGATTTAGTTGCAATACTTCCGGTTTGGAACTCTCGCACGGTTTGATATCCTCCGGTTTGGTTCGATTGCAGGTTCGTTTGGTTCTGAATTTGCATCAATACTCCCCTCCTCGAAATGAACCTTGTCCTCAAGGTTCAAAGACGGAAAACTCTGCTGTAACTGATCCCATTCCTCCCAAGTTGCATCATCGTAAGAGAGCCCTTGCCAAAGGACCAATGCTTCCTTAACCCAACGTCCATGCTGCTCATGCATACATGACTGCAAGACTCGCTCCGGCTTTAGGCGAAGTAACCCACTAGTACGTAACGGTGGTAATGTTCCCGACACAGAAGTATCCGAGCCCACATGTTTCTTAAGTAAAGAGACATGAAAAACAGAGTGAACTCGAGTACCTTCCGGGAGTTTTAAGCGGTAAGCCACGGGACCCATACGAGCTTCAATCTGGAATAGTCCAAAGAATCGTGTAGACAGCTTTTGAGAAGTACGCTTAAAGATGGTGTGTTGACGATAAGGCTGTAACTTCAGAAAAACCCAATCACCAACCTCAAACGAGACGTCACGACGTTTAGTGTCTGCTGTTTGCTTCATCCGGTTGCTGGCTTTAGCTAAATGCCTTTTGAGATCACCGAGAACCTCATAACGTGCCTGCTAGTTTCTCATCAAGCTCCTGAACTGGTGTTGAACCCAAATCATAACCTGGTAACGGTGGTGGTAGTTGACCGTACAAAGCCTGAAATGGTGTCATTCCCGTAGATGAATAAAACATGGTGTTATACCAGTATTCCGCCCACGGCAAAAGAGAGCTCCACTGCTTTGGGCGGTCATGCATAAAACAATGCAAGAATTGTTCGACGCAGCGATTCACCACTTCTGTCTGGCCGTCGGTTTGAGGATGATATGCCGATGACATCCGTAATTTGGTACCCGAGAGCCTCCATAGCTCCCGCCAAAACAAGCTCACAAAAATCAGATCGCGATCACTGACAATAGACTTAGGAATCCCATGAAGTTTGACAATGAATTCAATAAACTTTGTCGCAACTGACCGTGCTGTATAAGGGTGCGCCAGAGGGACCAAGTGAATTGATTTGCTCAGCCTATCAACAACCACCATGATGGAGGTGTGATTATCTGATTTGGGCAGGCCGTCAACAAAATCCATAGATATGTCTTCCCACACTTGGCTCGGGATAGGTAGTGGCTGGAGAAGACCCGCGGGAGATAGGCTATTGTACTTGGATCGCTGGCAAATGTCACACGCAGCAACATTATCACGGATTGTCTTATGCATGGAAGGCCAATAAAATTGGGAAGCAAGGCGTTTGAATGTTCGCAGGACACCTGAATGCCCGCCCATGTGTGTATTGTGGTA